GCCGATGGTAGCTGAGGGGACTATGAGGAGGACTACGGGGAGGGAGACGCTAACTGACACGCGACTGCGGGTAGAGGGGTAGCGTGAGACAAACCTGACGGGGTAGGACCAGGGGGGGGCTGGGGTACCGGAGGAGCGGGAACAGGAGGAGGAGAGGGGGCGAGGAAAAGAGGAGGGGGAGGAACTGGGAGACCTCGACAGAGGTACCGGGTGTAGTAAGACACAGACTCGTCAAACTGGACGTCACGGGTGTATAGGAACCGGTGGAGGGGCGGGTGGTAAAACGCAAAGTTATAGGAGTCCTTTGAGAAACCAAGGAAGACACAGGGAATGGCTCGAGCCGAGAGCTTATCAGCAAATGTGTCACGGATATACCAAACGCAGCCTCAGACGTGCAACTCCGATGTAGCACAAGGGGACTAGTCCAAAGACTAGTCGGTGAATCCCCTGGTCGTGAAACACGAGGCGAGAGGTTCAGCTGGTGGGTGGCGCAGCAAACCGCGTAGGGCCACAGAAAATGGGGCACATGGGCATGGATCATGGAGGTGCGGGCGATATTCATGACCAAGCCCATTCTGCTGTGGCGCTTCAGGTAGCGTCCACGGCAGTGTGATGCCCTGCTTGCCGCAGAACCTAGCAAGTACGCCGGAGCGAAACTATGTTCGGAGTGGGGACAATGGACACAACTACCACGAGTGCCCTCAGTGGCCAGGAACCACCGGATCAGTGTAGAAGTTACCTCAAACTTCTTCGCAAGAGGAAACAACGTGGTGTACCTGGAAGAATTGTCAAGGACCACGAGAAAGAAGTGCTCCCGCTCGGGCCCAGCACGAGCGGCTGTGCCCCAGATGTCCAAGTGGAGGGTCTGGAAGGGAGCGATGGCCGGACGAAGGGAGGAGTGAGGAGTGGCGCGCAGCCGACCCTCGACGCAAGGATTGCAAGGCAGCGCAAGCGAACAAGGGAATGAGGCAAAGACACGCAGAAGACCTGCGACAAGACACTGGCTAGCCATGTTGCGGAGGCTTGGGATGGACGAGTGACCAAGGTGGTAGTGCCACAAGACTGTCGGGTGAAAGATTGAATAGCAAGATCATAACGCAGCAACTAGACCGACACAGCAACCCGTGGGGACGCAGGAGCCTGACCAGACTCGGCTACCTGGAGGGACGCGTAAACCTGACCGGACTCTACTACCTAGTGGGACGCAATGTGCAGAACGAAGAGACCTGAGTGGGGCTCCTTGATGAACGTGGCAAGAAGTGCCCCAGTCGAAGCGTCCGTACAGATCGTCGTCCTCCCGTATGTAAGAAAAGAAACTGTGATTCTACGGTCCTGAAGGTATCCAACACCCACCAAGTTCCAAGAGGACGAGGGGATGTAGAGACCAGTGAGGAAACAGAAGGGACAGGCGGGCACAGGAGAGTGGTTGAGCTGCGAGCGACTGCTGCTCTTGAAGTAGGATCAGCTAGGGCAACTCGGACCAGAGCCGAAAGAGGTGTGACAGTGGTGTGGTCGTGAAAGAGAAACCGAGACACGCCTGAGTCCAGCGTGAAGGAGAGGGATGTGACAGCAATCGTCACGGGTGGACTAGTGACTACACAAGCACCTACACTAAAAGCACAAGTACCTACACTAGTAGTAGGCAAAGGATATAAACAAGGTATACGCAAGCCAAGAAATCTATACGTGACAGAATAAGCAGCATCCATAGGCATATCAAACACAGGGTAACCGCTACGAGACAAACCGAGCGAGATCAATGGCCTCGACTCAGACCCAAACTGTGAGGATCTAGGATCGAGCTCAGAAAAGAGAGTTTGAATTGAATGATCACCTGGGTACAACACGAGGCTATATATAGGCGTGACACAAGGCCCAGTAACCAGGTGTTACGCGAAGGTTCCAAGGGTTGCGAAGCGTCCCAGACAGATCCTTCCCAAATTCGGTAGAAGGCAATTTGGTGGCAACCGAAAAGCCCAAAATTCGGTGCACGCAACCTAGCTCGGTGCTATAACTATAATAAAATATAGGAAAGCACCTAGCCTAGGAAATCAAGAAAATCATGCATGCATAAAATAAACCCATACTAGAAATAGCATAACAAAGTCTAGGCAAGCAAACATAGCTCCCATAAGCCGTCGTACTCTCACACGTCCCCCCCTCAAAGCTGTGTGGCGTGAGATACACCCTGCTTGACAAGATAGTCCTTGGGAGCACGGCGTGTGTTGCCCATATCAGCTTCTACAACCCAAATGTCCTTAGTGGGGTCGTATCCCTTCCAGCGGATCAGGAACTCGAGGGTCCTGCCACCGCGGCGCCGATGAGTGAAAACGTGCTCCACTTCGTACTCGGGTTCATCCTATATGAGAACAGGTGGTGGTGGCGGTAGCTGCCGTCCCTGGAACTGTTGGTTGGGGTCCTTGTAGGGTTTTAGTAGCTGAACATGGAAAGCGTTGTGAAGCTTCCATGTAGTAGGTATGCGCAAGCGGAATGTTACTGGTGTCACCTGTGTGTCGGTCATCCACCAACTGCATGTGTCGTCGAGAGAGTGTCGGCTGCGACTTAGGGTATTTGAGACTGCAGTGGTCAATATAGACTGTAGTCTTGGCTCCCTCTAGGTAACACCTCCACGCCTTGAACGCTATGACTATCGCCAAGGTTTCCTTATCATGGATGGGATAATTCAGTTCTGCTCCGTGTAGCTTCTTACTGAGGTAGGCGATGGGCTGCAAACCGCGTCCGTGATCGTGCATCAGTACTGCTCCGACTACTTGGTCACTAGCGTCTGCTTCCACCACATAGTCCTTGTCTAGGTCCAGTAGGATGATTACTGGCACTGTAGTTAGTGCTATCTGTAGCTGCTCCATGGCTTGCTAATGAGAAGTATCCTATTTGTAAGGCGTATCCATTTTCAGTAGGTCGGTTAGTGGCGCTGCTACCTGAGCGTAATGTGGCACGAACCTGTTGTAGTAGCTGGCAAAGCCAAGGAACTGCTTCAACTTCTTCACATTCTCTGGTACTTTTCACTTCTTGATGGCTTCGATCTTCCGCGGGTCCACGTGTACGCCCTCGGCACTCACCATGTGCCCGAGAAATTGCACCTTCTTCAGGGCAAAGTCGCTCTTTGACAGCTTCACGTAGAATTTGTTCTTCCGCAAGAACACCTTCCGTAGATGTTCCACGTGCTCCTTCATGTTCTTGGAGTAGATGAGAATGTCGTCCAGGTACACCACCATGCACTCGTCCAGCAGGGGCCATAGGATGTGGCTCATCTCCGCCGGAAACGTTGCTGGTGCGTTGCAGAGTCCGAACGGCATCACTAAGTTTTCGTAAGAGCCGTATCTGGTACTGAACGCCGTCTTGTATATCGAGTTGTCCGCCATCTTGATCTGCCAGTAACCCGACTGTAGGTGCAGCTTCAAAAAGACTGTTGCACCACGTTGTTGGTCCAGTAGGTTGTCTATGCACGTTATGGGATATTTGTTTTTAACTGTCTGTTTGTTCAGTGCGCGGTAGTTGATGCACATTTGTAAACCGCCGTCTAGTTTTGGAGTGAAGAGGGTGCACCGTAGGGACAGGTGGATGGGCGGATCAGTTGTCTGTCCAGTAGATACTCTATCTGCTTCTTCATGTCTATTAGTTCTGTCGGACCCAGTCGGTGTGGTGCACGTGAGACAGGTTTTGCACCTGGCTCCAAACAGAACATTATAGCTTATACATTTGTGTAGGCTGTAGTGGGGTAGCCCATAAGGGGTACAACCCAATTAGGGTTAGTATTGTACCCAACTGTTTCATAGTTCATTCATTCCATTCTCACTTCTCGTCATGGTATCGAGCAGGTTCCCGAGTGGGAATACTGCCTAGGGCCCACCACGAACTTTTTTTTCCTTCCTTGCCTGGAGCGCGCTTAGCTCCTAACCCGAGTAGCGCCTCGAGCCGCCTTAGTGGCCCCTGTTGGTCGCCCTTACTGCCCCTCGAGCCGCCCTCTACGGCTTTGCTTAGCCCGCTTACGGCCCCGTCGCGGCCCCGCTACGGCCCTGCTTAGGCCCCGTCGGCCCCGCTACGGCCCCGCTTAGGCCCCGCTTCAGCCCCGTCGGCCCCGCTTAGGCCCCGCTACGGCCCCGCTACAACCCCGCTACGGCCCCGTTGGCCCCGCTACGGCCCCACTTCGGCTCCGTCGGCCCCGCTACGGCCCCGCTTAGGCCCGGCTACAGCCCCGTCGGCCCCGCTTAGGCCCCGCTACGGCCCCGCTACGGCCCCGCTACGGCCCCGTCGGCCCCGCTACGGCCCCGCTTAGGCCCCGCTTCGGCCCCGTCGACCCCACTTAGGCCCCGCTACGGCCCCGTCGGCCCCGCTACGGCCCCACTTTGGCCCAGTCGGCCCCGCTACGGCCCCGCTTAGGCCCCGCTACGGCCCCGCTACGGCCCCATCGGCCCCGCTACGGCCCCGCTTAGGCCCCGCTTCGGCCCCACTATGGCCCCGCTTAGGCCCCGCTACGACCCCGCTACGGCCCTGCTTCGGCCCCGTCGGCCTCGCTTAGGCCCCGCTACGGCCCCGCTACGGCCCCACTTAGGCCTCGCTTCGGCCCCGTCGGCCCTGCTACGGCCCCGCTTAGGCCCCGCTACGGCCCCGTCGCGGCCCCGCTACGTCACCCACTTTGGCCCCGTCGCCACCGCGGCCCCGCCAACCCTTGCAGCCCACCGCCACCTTAGGCCCCGCAGCCACATGCGACCTCGCCACCACCTGCGACCCCGCCGCCTAGCGCCCGCAGCGCCGAGCAGCCAAACCGCAGGCCAGCTGAGCCGCCCGACCGCCCGAGCCGCCCAGCAACCGAGCCGCCCAGCAGCCGAGCCGCCCGGCAGCCGAGCCGCCCGACAGCCGAGTTGCCCAGCACCGTGCAGCCAAGCCGCCCACCAGCCGAGCCGCCCAGCAGCCCAATCGCCCCACCTAGCTGGTAAGAGCACAGTCTCTGCCACTGCACTGCCCTGCCTACTGCTGTTATGGCTTCCCCTAGCGTTCTCACCTTTGACGCTGAGGGTCGGGCAGTGGACTTTGAGGTCTGGGTAGATGATCTGCAGCTTTTCCTGCAGGGCGATAGGGCAGACGGCCTCTCCCTGTTTGACCTCACTTCTGGTGCCTCTCCCGCCCCTGCTGCTGATGCTCACGCCACTGTTTGCTCACAGTGGGCCACCAATGACGCTGCTGCTCGCCTTGCTGTGCGCCGCCACTTGCCGACCACAGAGCGTGCACACTTTAGCCAGTACAAGAGTGCTCACACCTTGTACGACGCTTTCGTTGCACGCTACTCTTCCCCTGCTACTGCTGCACTGAGCCGCCTCATGCTACCGTACCTCTTCCCTAACCTTGCTGCCTTTCCCACAGTCGCTGGCCTTATAACGCACCTCCGCACTAGTGACACTCGCTACCGCGCTGCGCTTCCTGCTGAGTTCTGCGCCAAGAACCCCACCCCCCATGTACATCACCCTCTATTACATAGTCACCCGGCTCCCTGACTCTCTTCGGGTAGTCAGGGACCACTTCCTCTCTGTTTGCCCCACCACTCTCACCGTTGACCTCCTCAAGAAGGCCCTCCTAGCGATAGAGAAGAGCATAGTCACTATAGGAGCCTCTCGTGGTGACCCTCACACCCCCGTCTTTGAGGGGTGTTCTCCCTCCCCCCTCTTGCCCTCTGTTGCCTCTGCTGCAGCGGGTGACCCCGTTGGTTTTGAGTCGGTCGGCGCTGCGTCTGCCCCGAGCGGGAGACGCCGCACCGGCAAGGGCAAGGGGGGCAAGGGCACTGGAGGAGCTCGAGGGGGCGGTGGAGGTGGTGGTGGAGGTGGTGGAGGGAGTGGGAGTGGTGGTGAGAGTGGTGCCAGGGGTGGCGGCGGCAGCAGTGGAGGCGGCGGAGGCAGTGGAGGTGGCGGAGGGAGCGGAGGCGGCGGAGGTGGTGGAGGAGGCGGAGGTGGAGGAGGCGGCGGAGGCGGCAGAGGCAGCGGCGGGGAAGGCGGCGGCGGCGGACGCGGCGGCGGCGGAGGCGGCGGCGGCGGACGCGGCGGCAGCGGAGGTGGCGGCGGCGGAGCGGCGGTGGTGGAGCGAGTCACGACTCTGCGCAAAGGAGTGGCGCCGGTGGTGGTCAGCGCCACCAGCAGCAGCGGAGTGGTGTGACCCTGTCCCCTCAGCAGCTTCGAGACTGGTACACTTCACGCCAGCGCGGTGGGGGCTTTGGTCCCTGCACTTACGTTCTTCATACCGGCGACCGCACTGGTGAGCAGTGCGGAGGCCCGCACTCCACCCGGCGCCGCTTTGGTCGCCTCACAGACGCGTGGCGTCGCCAGTTCCCTAAGGTGTCAGAGATCCCTCGCTGGGGAGATCTGGCTAAGGCCGGGGTTGCTATCTTTGATCTTGACTTTGATGCTATTCTTGCTGCCATGTATGCAGTTGCTGATAGTGTTGAGGGTGCCTGTTACCTGTGTGTACCGCCTGACCCGGGCATGAAGGCTGCTGCGCTAGGTCTTGGTGAGGCTGCTGCTCTAGGTGCTAGTGCCTCTACAGCCCCAGGTGCCAATGCGTCTACCGCCCCAGGTGCTGTTGAGTCTGCTCTCTCAAGTACTACGTCGGCTCAGGCCTTCCACACCTTCACCCTGGACTCGGGTGCGTCCCGCTCCTTCTTTCGAGACCGCACCACTCTTACGCCGCTTAGTCGGCCGGTTGCACTCTCCCTTGCAGACCCCTCTGGGGGTCCTGTCCTTGCTAGCTTCTCCACTGTCCTTCCGTGCCCTGCAGCCCTCTCTGGCACCCTGTCTGGTCTCTACCTCCCCTCGTTCTCTACAAACTTGGTGAGTGGAGCAGACCTACACGATCAAGGGGTTGACCAGTTCACTCCTCCGAGTCAGCGAGTGACCCACTGCACGTGTGCTCGGACAGGCCAACACTTGGCCTCGTTCACCCGTAGGCCAGGGTCGAGCCTGTACACCCTTACTACTGAGTCTCCTCCTACTTCTGAGTCTGCCCAGGTAGCTGCGTCGAGTCAGGTGTTTGCTGCGGCATCCAGGTCTGGTCCTGAGTCTGCCCCCTGCTCGTGTCGTCTGGTGTCCCACCAGACTCTCCTTTGGCACCACCGCCTTGGTCACCCCTCCTTGCCTCGTCTCCGAGGCATGGCCTCCCGTGTCCTTGTCTCTGGTCCTCCTCGGTCTCTCCCTCCCCTTCCTCCGGGGCCTGGCCCTACCTGCGTCCCCTGCGTCGAGGGGCGACAGCGCGCCGCCCCTCACTCCTCCGAGTTTCCTTTGACAGAGGCTATGCTGCAGACTCTACACATGGACATGTGGGGCCCAGCCCGCGTCAGTGGGCAGGGGAGAGAGCGGTACTTTCTGCTGGTCGTTGACGACTACTCGCGTTACACCACAGTCTTCTACTTGCGCAGCAAGGGTGACGTCACAGAGGTGTTGATTGACTGGATTCGCGCAGCTCGTCTTCAGCTCAGAGAGAGTTTCGGCTCGGACTTTCCTGTTCTGTGTCTACACTTGGACACGGGCGAGGAGTTTTCCTCTGCCCGTCTAGGAGCCTTCTATCGTGCAGAGGGCATCGGCCAGACCTTCACGCTTCCGGCCTCTCCACAGCAAAATGGGATTGCTGAGCGCCGCATGGGCATGGTCATGGACGTCGCTCATACGTCCATGATGCATGCGGCTGCCCCCCATTTTCTGTGGCCGTTTGCAGATCAGTACGCCGCGCATCAGCTCAACCTTCAGCCCCGGGTCTCCTTGCAAGAGACCTCCCCCGCCTTACGATGGACAAGGAAGGTTGGCGATGCGTCTGCGTTTCGGGTCTGGGGATCTCAGACGTTTGTCCACGACTTGTCTGCGGACAAGCTGTCCCCCCGTGCTGTTCCTTGCGTCTTCCTTGGCTTCCCCCCCCCGACGCGCATGGCTGGCAGTTTTACCACCCCACCTCGCGCCGTGTTCTGTCCTCCCAGGACGTCACCTTTGACGAGTCAGTGCCTTACTACCGTCTCTTCCCTACCGCACTGTGCCCCTCCCCCCGACGCCGCTCTTCCTTGCGCCAGGTGCTACCCAGGTAGACCCCCTCCCCCCTCAGGGTCCTGCCCCGTCAGGTGTGTCCCAGGTAGATGCAATCGAGCCTGCCGAGGTAGCTGTTGACTCTGGTGCTGCTAGAGGTGCTGAGCCTGCAGGTGCCTAGTCTGGGGGTGCTAGGTCTGGGGGGGCTTAGTCTGGGGGTGCTGAGCCTAGGGGTGCAGAGCTTGGGGGTGCTCAGTCTGGGGATGCGGAGCCTGGGGGTGCTGGGTTTGCTCGTGTGGCCACCGGCGGTGCTTCGTCGAGGCGGGAGCCGCTCTCTCCACAGAAGCTGCGCGAGTGGTTCGCCCGCCGCTGGAGACATGCTGCAAAGTCTGGGGGTGCTGCTTGAGCTACTGGAGCTGCTGTCGGTGCTGGTGGTGCTGGAGATGGACCTGCTCGGGGTGTTGGCGCTGGTGTTTCTACTGGTGCTGGTGCGACTGAGGGTGCTGCTAAGGCTGCTGGTGCTGGCGTTTCTACTGGATTTGGAGCTGCTGGGGGTGTTGGCGCTGGCGGTGCTGCTGGCACAGGTGCTTCTGAGGGTACTGGAGTTGGAGCTGTTGGAGCTGGAGGTTCTGTTGGCGCTGCTGCTGCCACTGGGGTAATGGTGCCGTCCTTGTTGGTTCTGGAGGCGCTGAGCGGCCGAGGCCGTTCATCGTTCCGCTCCTCGAGCAGGTTCTTGGTCTCCCGCCCTCTCCTGGTCCGACTCCACCCTTAGAGTGTCTACAGCCTGTCTAGTCACAGTCACAGTTACAGCCCGCCTCCCCTCTACCTGCTCCTTCTCCCTACACTGGTCCTACTGGAGGTCTTGCTGAGCGTCGTGAGCCTGCGTCTCGTCTTGCGTCGCCTGTTCATGCTGCTCGCACTAGTCATCGTAGTGCACATCCACGTCCTCCTGCGGTCCCCGACACACACAAGATGGCACTTCGTGCTTCCACTGCTCCTCTGCGTGTCCCGTTGCCGTCTCCTCCAGAGTCCTCTCTTCCTTCTCTTGCTGACCCGGAGTCTGAGTCCCTTCGTGCTGCTAGTCCTTCGGTCACGTGCCTTCTTGCTACTCTTGTCACTGACCCTTCCTTTGAGTCCACTATTGCTTCTGCTCTAGTTGCTGAGCTTGTCGACTTCGCTGCTCGCTGTCGTCTAGACTACGCTGCCAGTCTCATTGGTGACTCAGAGTCTGTCTGTCCTCCGTCCGTTGGGGGTGAGTGTGCTCTTAGCACGGACGTCCTTGAGGACATGCAGAAGGAGTTCCAGTGCTTTGCTGCTGCTTTGCCCCATCTCGTGTCCACGCTGATTGCCCCTGAGGGAGACTCGGATGCACCAGACATCTCGACTCCTCGATCGTACGCTGAGGTGATCAAGGGTCCCTACTCCTCTTAGTGGCAGTCGGCCATGGACGCAGAGATGGCTTCCTAGAATTCCACAGGCACCTACGTCGACGAGGTTCCCCCACCTGGGGCGAACATCGTCAGTGGCATGTGGATTTTCAGTGTGAAGCGGCCGCTGGGCTCTCCGCCTCTCTTCAAGGCGCGTTACGTGGCTCGAGGCTTCAGTCAGCGGCAGGGAGTTGACTACTTTCAGACCTTCTCTCCCACCCCGAAGATGACCACTCTTTGGGTGCTACTGCACATAGCCGCTCAGCGCGACTACGAGCTTCACTCTCTTGACTTCAGCATAGCTTTCCTGCAGGGCAGCCTGCACGAGGAGATCTGGCTGCGCCGCCCTCCTGGCTTCACTGGGTCGTTTCCTCCTGGTACCCAGTGGAGCCTCCAGCGGCCAATCTACGGTCTCCGCCAGGCGCCCCGTGAGTGGCATGACATACTGAGGACTACACTTGCGGCTCTTGGGTTTGCTCCTTCTACAGCCGGCCCGTCGCTATTTCTACGCACCAACACTTCTTTGCCGCCGTTCTACATCCTTGTGTACGTCGACGACTTGGTCTTTGCCACCGCTGACACTGCTGGACTCGCCCACGTGAAGTCGGAGCTGCAGAAGAGACACACGTGCACAGACCTGGGTGAACTGCGCAGCTACCTTGGCTTGCAGATCACCCGGGACAGAGCACAGCGCACCATTAACCTGACTTAGTCACACATGGTGCAGCAGGTCCTTCAGCGCTTCGGCTTCACGTACTCCTCGCCTCAGGCCACTCCTCTGTCTACTCGCCACTCGCTCTCAGCTCTGCCTTCGGATGAGTCCGTAGAGTCGAGTGACCCGTACCCAGAGCTTGTTGGCTGCCTCATGTACCTGATGACCTGCACACGACCTGACCTTGCATACCCTCTTAGCATTCTCGCACGCTATGTTGCTCCTGGGAGACACCGACCAGAGCACATGGCTGCAGCGAAGAGGGTGTTGCGCTACGTATGCAGTACGTCGGGCATGGGGCTAGTGCTTGGAGGGCGACGTCGAGTAGTCCTCACAGGTCACGCTGACGCTTCTTGGGCTGACGACCAGGCTACGCAGCAAGTCATCACAGGGTTACACCTTCAGCCTTGGCTCCGACTCTGTTTCGTGGCGGTCTACCCGCTCGTCCTCTATTCTCGGCTCCAGCTGTGAGGCTGAGATCTACGTTGGGGCCATGGCTGCACACGAGCTACGCTGGCTCACCTACCTGCTGACTGACCTAGGAGAGCCGCCTCGTTCTCCTCCTGTTCTGTACATAGACAACAAGGCCATGCTGGCCTTGTGGCGGGAGCACAGACTGGAGCACAGAACGAAGCACATTGCACTCCGCTACTTCCCGTCTCGTGAGCTGCAACAGCGTGGTCAGCTCTGCCTCACCTATGTGGCCTCTGAGGCAAACACTGCTGATATCTTCACCAAGGCCCTTCCGCCTTGTGATCATCAGCGCTTCTGTACTGTGCTAGGTCTTGTGCCTACCTGGCCTCACTTGCTCACTTCTTGATCTTGTTTGTACTGTGTTCTTTCTATACCTACCCTTGCTTGTTTTACCTTTATATATATGACCTTGCATCTGAACTAGCCTTGTGGCCTACTCTTGTGCTTGGACTGTGTGGTGAGTTTGTGATCCACTCTGAGCTTGCTTTGCTTGACTGGTCTTGTGACCACTTGCTCTCCCCCACTTGCCTATGGGGGTTTGTCAGAACATTATAGTTTATACATTTGTGTAGGCTGTAGTGGGGTAGCCCATAAGGGGTACAACCCAATTAGGGTTAGTACTTGTACCCTACTGTTTCATAGTTCATTCATTCCATTCTCACTTCTCGTCAGTTCCTCCACGATCTCATGCTCGTTGGGTGCGTGTTGAACGGTACGCCTGCGGGTAGGTCATCGGGCATTATATCCTAGTACTGCTCCAAGAACTCCTTCACTACTGCAGGTCGCTTCGAACTTGGCTTCTCCTCCTTTACTACTGCCATAACCAGTGCTAAGTAACCCGTGTTGCTCTCGTTCACCGTCTGTTTGAACTGTGCCTAGTGTCGTTTTAGGAACATTCCCTGTATCTGTCTAGCTTTGCAGCTCCACTCGTTTCCCGTTGTTGTAGATGCACACCTTCGTGTTGACCTATTTGATCTCGGGTTTGAACTGCTTCAGGAAATCTCGCCCAAGATGAAATCTAAACCTTTGATGTTAGTAATCGGCAATGTCGGCTTCCACCCTAGCGCCCCTATGTGCAGGTGAAGTGATGCTTTGCCGTGGATTGGAAGTTTCGTACCGTCCACCATCGTTGCCGTGAACTTGGTCTCTTCCAAAGGTTCTCCAATTTTCTCCAACGCCTCGCGATTGCACCACTGTCCACCAGTGTCTGGAGGCATCGCCCATTGCAAATCACCTCGAGAAGTAGTTGTTGCTGCTCCGAGTAACCGTAGATGGTCTCGCTTATAGGATCGTAGGGTACGTCGAACAGATCATCCCTCGGTCCTGCGCTTGAAGCTGCTGACTCCATGTTTGTTTTCAACCGAGTTGGGTTAGAAGGATTATCAGAGGCCGATTCAGATTCGTCTTGGCCTGGAACCTTCCCTTAAGCCTTTGCAGCTGTGTAGGCTTCACCTGTGGGCAATGGGGAGCCTTAACACTATGCTGCGGGGGAGAGAATATAACTCCTTGGAACGCACAACCATTTTCAACGCTCCGGAGTGGTTTGCCCAACTTTTCAGGTGCCTGAATAATGTCTGAAAGGCTTTTTCTTGGCCTTGAAATCTCCCCTGAAATTTTTAAGGCTTGAAAACCTCGAGAGGAAGTATTCTTACTCTCGGGGGTGTCCGGCTGAAGTTTCTCGGTCGGTGCAGGGTCTTCTTTTGCGGAGCCTCCATTTGTCTTGGCGACTTCCCCTGTTGCCGGCCGGTCGTGGCGTTTTAAATTTGCGCCCCGATGTCCTTCTTTTTTCGCCCACTCCGAAGTCGCCACGTTGTTGCCTTTTCGCCTTTTCCTGATATTTTCGTGATCGTCAGGTTGATCGGCGGCTATTCATGATTCCTTTTTTACTTCGGGGGTGCCACACTGTTGTCGCCCTGCAATTTCGCTCGTACCTTCTTCAATTTCCAACACGCCAAGAATCGATGTCTTGCTGCGCCGCAAATTGGCACTTCTCATATTTTGTCGGCCGATGCTTCGCATCGACCTGGTCGATATCCATTGGGTCGGCGGTCGTGGGTGGTGCCGATCACTTCGTGCCAAATGATCTGTTCGGGACGCGTCATCGTGTTTTGGGTTGACCTTGAGTCAACGCATCGAATCTCTCTGCTGCACATACCAAGTCGCGGTAGTTGTCGTAGTTCGCGGCAATCACCGGTCGGCGGACTTGTTACACGACTGACCTGTTTATGCAGATGAATCTGCTGCCATGCCATGTAGCTGAAGTTGATTGATTTGAAACGTTGAATTAACGCTGCCCGAAACTGCGTCCATGACCCCTCACCTCAACCTCGTTGCTATTGTAACGTGCGCCGGGCCTCGTAACAATGTCGATGCGAGCCGAATTTGCATTGCATCGTGTGCCGGGGTCGTACAATGGACTCGAAGTAAATTTCGAGGGTCGCAATGATATCGACGGACGTCGGTGTCTCTCGCATTCGGATTGAACGTCTCCGGTAGCCTCAGACGTGCTGCCTCAAGATTCACTATAGCCACTGCCGCTACTACTGGGTAAAGTGTCGGTGTCACCGCTGCTGCTGCTGCTGCTGCTGTGGCGGCTGCCTTCTAGTTCGCGAGAAGATCCTCTATTCACTGGAGTGCCGCTCGCGTCTGGTCTAGGCCGGTGTGAAACTCTGTAATTTTTTCGTACGGAATTATCACTATTTTCCTTCATTTGGCGATTTACAGGAAATTTTGCGACGAAAATAATTGAATTATAGGCGCTTTGTCGACTTACTGCGAGTCGAATCGAATGTAGAAATAACGAGCGCTGATTCGGTTGGTCACGTAATTCTTGTCAGAACATTATAGCTTATACATTTGTGTAGGCTGTAGTGGGGTAGCCCATAAGGGGTACAACCCAATTAGGGTTAGTACTTGTACCCAACTCTTTCATAGTTCAATCATTCTTGTTTCTCGTCATGGTATCGAGCAGGTTCCCTAGTGGGAACGCTACCTATGGCCCACCACGACTTTTTTTTCCCCTGCCCGGAGTGCGCTTCACTCCTAC